CGAAACCCGTTCGTGGTTTTAAACGAAGAGCAGCCGCGAGTCGAGAAGTCGAGCACAAAAGGCCGCTTTTCAACGAGATCAATCCAATTTTCCAAGTTTTCCCGCGGCGTGACGAAGCGTCAAGAAGCCAGTGGGACGTTTTAAGTCCCGATTAGACGCGTTCTACATAGTGAAAGGAAGCCGAGGCTACCTGCAGCTCCGCTGCCAAACAACCTGTCCTCGGGCATAGAGGCGAATTTCTGCCCTTCCAAAGTCTAAGCCAAACGACCTATTATCGCGGCACGTTCGGCCACGTTCCCGGATGAAAGAACTGCCGCTTCAAAGTTTTCCTAATAGACGCCTGGTGACCGTACTGTCTCTTAATATTTCGGTTTCTCGGGGGTGGGGACGGATGTCGTTTGGAGGATCGCCTCAAAATTGTTGGTTTTGTCGAGATCGAGAACGGTTCATTTTGTGACTAGATTAAAAAAAGGAAAATATTATATATAACGTTTGTGGAGAATATATAGTAATAAGTAGAAGTGTAGACAGGAGAAATGTTCAAGTTTAATTACTATCTTATATGAAGTATAGCCTCAGATTATTGTCAATGGATCTCTTAGGATTAGTTATAGCTTTTATAAACTTTAGTTCAGGAGAATAATCCAATTTAAACCTCTAAAGAATGTAATAATCACTTAGTTGTATACGTATTAGAAAATGAACAAAAGAATGAAGTTATTTACCTTAACCCCTATTATTCTGATGAACAGGTATATATAGGATAAAAAAGATTTAGAAGAAGTTATATAAATAATAAAATATTTAAATATATAAATAAAAAATTTCGAATTTAGAAGAGAGCAAATCTTTTTCCTACATTTAAAATTTAAATATATTTAAAATCACTTCCTTGTAAGAGGAATATTAAGAGAAATATTAAAAATTATAATGTATCAATTCGATAATATTTTAATTTAATTAAAAATATATATTGTAGCGAATAATCGTATTTAACATAATCCAATTTAATATGTTAAAAGATATTTTAATAGAAGAAAATAAGAAAAACAAGAAAGGAACAAAGAAAGAAGTGTCAAATAAAGAATAAGTCAAATCTGAAGATTTTATTCTATGCAAATTAAATAATAATTAAAGGTAAAACCGTATGATAATGTATTTTACGATATTATAAACTAATAAATTTTGAAAACGATAAAATTTTATTCTTTCTTGCATGATAGAGAGATTTATTGTTATTATATTTTTTTATTGTTTAAAAATTGCAAAATTTAGTTGAGAAAAACTAATAAAAAAAAATTTCAACTCGTGATTCAAAATATAAAAACAATTGAAAATGGAAACTTGGTTAAAAAAGAAACTATTTGGCCCTAATTTTCACATGTAAAATTATTCTCTAGCAATTAATTGCGAAGCTAAGGCGTTGAAATCACCAACCGTTCTAACGTAATTAAACAGAATCTGTCGTTCAAATTTTAATCTCCTCGTCGAAATTTGATTTTCTTCTAGAGTTTCTTTTCATCTTTAAGCTTACAAAAATATTAATGAAATCATACGTCGATTATCGATTTTAAAACAAAGATTACCATAATCGAATGTTTCGATAAGGCATAATACATCGATGATGAAGCCACGTGCAAGAATTCGAGGGACATCAAGATCTCGATTACGAGACAATAATATTATCGATAAAATTATCAATTATGAGACTTTCTCGCTTATCTCAAATCATTTTCGGATCCTGTTATTTCTTTGGAAAAATTAATAAACGAATAGATTGCGATTTATGAAATATTAATTTCGTAAGTATTATTTAATCAAAGGATTAATATTCATAGCGAATTTTAAATTCTATTTCTTCTTTCTAAATTCCTTTCGCGCATTAATATGTTGCAAAGGAAAAACGATAATATATGATATAACTTAGATAATAAATTTTAAGAAATTTATTATGATTAGAAATTATCAAGAAAATAAAATGTCTCCTATCTAATTTCACTTCAATTTAATACTCAAAATTATCCTCTATAAATCTATAAAATCTCCATTTGTAATATTAAAATCAAAGATCTAATTGGATCTCGAGAATCACTGAATCGCAATAACGACTCGTAAATTTCACTCGATAAATTTCCAAGAAAAATTACAGAATTATCGAAAAATCAAACCACTCTTCATCGCTTTCAAATAAAATTCTACGACAAACCAAATGAAAAAGCTAAGCGACACAACATTCTGCACCAAAAAACTCATACTCTACTCAGCCAACTAAAAAAATCAGATAATAAACTCCACCCTCTTAATCGATATCCACATATCCATAATATAAATCCACTCATTCCACTGAAAGATTCGAACTGAAACGCATGCGAAATAATTCTGCAAAGAATTAACCGCGTGAGTGCCCGTTCTAACACACTCGAACTCTATATATATATATATATATATATATATATAAATTGGTGTCGGCAAAAATAAGCTACATACACGTGGTATAGATATAATTCTCTATAATATATATATATATTTTTCTTTTTTTTTTTTTTTCTTCTTCTTTTCTGATGAGTTCAAGTTTACCTATTACTGAAAGCGAGCTGGCTGTACCAGACGTGATTCAAGAGACTGGTCTGATAGGATAGCATCGACCAGGGCAGAATCTTATTCTTGTCCGCCATTTTGAAAGTCTCGAGGAGGTGTTAGTGGCGTCAGTACATGTTAATGTCCTCGTGGTTCTCTCGCACTCGTTTCAATGTCCTCACCCTTTCTCTCTCTCTCTTTTTTTTTTTTTTAATCTTATCTTACTCTTTTTTCTTAACCCCTCTCTTTCTCTCTCCCTTTTTTTTTTTAATTTTATCTTACTCTTTTTTCTTAACCCCTCTCTTTCTCTCTCCCTTTTTTTTTTTAATTTTATCTTACTCTTTTTTCTTAACCCCTCTCTTTCTCTCTCCCTTTTTTTTTTTTTTAATCTTATCTTACTCTTTTTTCTTAACCCCTCTCTTTCTCTCTCCCTTTTTTTTTTTTAAATTTCACCCTTCCAAGATCTCTCTCGTACCTTCTTACTTATTCACTCTCGGCCACTTTCGTCCCCTTTTCCTTCCTCTATTCACTTCCCCAAATTCACTTCCGAATTCCGTCCCGATCCCCGATGCGTTCAACGTTCACCCGCACACCTGACCATCCTCTTCGTCCCCCAACTTCGGCCCCTTCCGGTTCATCACTGGTCCATCAATACACCCGCGACTTTAGACTTTTTCTCTAAAATTCTTCTCGAGAATCCACCAACTATCCTTGTTGTTGTTGAATTATATCGATATAACGAGGGGGGAGGGGGGAAGGGGAAAAAATCACAAGTTCAATCGAAGCGAAACGCGTAGAAACTCGAACGACATTCACTCGCGACTCGAAACTTGATATTTTTCTTTTTTCAAGATCGGAGGAGCGGGAAAGAGAGCGAGGATAGAGCCGCGATTTCGTCGAGTGAAGAGCACTCCTTGTACTTTTTGAGTGTCCTCGACGAGCACTTGACGACTAGTGGTCCCTACCTCCGCGCCGTTTCGCTCGTCAAGCACCCTCGAGCCAGAGGGCGGATCTGAGCAAGGGGCGGGGA